GGGGGGGGGGGGGGGGGGGGGGGGGGGGGGGGGTTGGGGAGAGGAAAAGGAGGAGGGGAGGTATGAATTTTGGGGTATTTCTAATTTGTTGCAGTTGACTGGAATCACTCCAAAGTTTTTGCTGAAGGGTTGAACCTTGCTTTTGTAGATTTTTAATGGTTCCTTGTTTGCTAAAATCACTAGTTTCGTCATTCTTTGTGTCATTTCGGGTTTATTTTTCAGATAAAAATTGAAGATTTATATAACACTTTTGGTACTTTTGGCCCATTGGCTTCGGCGAAAATCCTGTTCCCACGTGACGATGATCGTAAACGTGAGCATTTATGCGGCTTCATAGCATTTATGGTTCGAAAAGACACTGACCGAGCAATGAAAGGAATGCAGGGCAGATTTATCAGAGGTTGTGAGGTGCGCATGTCGCTAGCGAAACCGGTCACTATACCACCACAGGTGAGAATTTCTGTGTTTGAGTAGGAGATTATGGTCATTATCGCTTTCGCACTACATTTTTATGCGTTTTAAAAATTCAAAAATTCATCAGAATTAAAAATTCATCAAAAATTAAATACTACAGGAAAAAAAGAAAATACAAACCCAGAAAAATAAAAAATCTTACTAGAAAAACCAGAATAATCAAAACCAGAAAATTTAGCATAAAATAAATAAAATATACGGTAACAATAACAGTGTCCAACAGCTACACAAAACGCATATTGTCACGGGATTGTCTGTGTGTATTTTTGTGTATGTGTTCGTCTGTCCGGGTATTTCTACTCGGCAACCACGCAAACTTTGATGCTGAAATTTTGCCATTGTGTTCCCCGGCCAAGTGCAACCCCAGGAACGTGATATCAACTGTCAAGCACCTCTACGCCTCATGTACGGGCATGTGAAAGTTTTTGGCAGGAAAATTGCTAACTCGGGAATGAGAAAGCCTGGAAGGCTGGAGTTTTAAGGGCATATTCCCTGTTCATGTGTGACCAAAAGAGTTCAAATTCAACTCCTTACTATGATTTATACTTACTTGAATACTTGAGCAGCTGTGTGTCATCAATTTACACTAAGCTTAACACCAGTTCTTACAATTGATCAGATGCCGACACATTCTCCTAGCAGTGGGACCTTTTTCGCGCAGCAGCAGCCACTGAAGCCGACATCTACAACTGACATGCCACATTAACCTCTTGAATTTCGAGGACCAATATGTCAGAAATTCTAGCTACTGTGATTCCTTGCGATCTTGCTACAGCACGAAACAGTGCAAAAACGCATGACAGCACCAGCCCACCTGGTGCGATCCAGCCTGGATTTTTCAGTTTCTGACTATTAAAAAGAAGACTGTTTCTTTTTTATAC